AAATTATTATTATTTGGTGAGAACATTTAATTTCTACTCTTTTGGGCAAATTTCAATTATATAAGATAGTGTTGCAAAGTTCTATATATAAAATTAACACATACTTGTTGTTAAAATATATATCCTAGGGACTTCCTACAAGTGGTATCATACAGTATTTGTCCTTCTGCGTCTGGCTTATTTCACCGAGCGTAATGTCCTCCAGGTTCATTTATATTGTGGCAGGTGTCAGAAAGCCTTTTTTAAGGCTGAATAATATTCCATTGTCTGGATGGACCACGGTTTGTTATCCATTCACTCGTCAACGGACATCTGGGCTGTTTTCATCTTCTGGCTGCTGTGAATAGCTCTGGTGTGAACGCAGGGGTACAAATATTTCTGTGGGACCTGCTTTCAATTCGTTTGGGTACGTATCTAGAAGTGGGGTTGCTGGATCGTATGCTAATTATCTATGTAACTTTTGTGGACCCACCGTTTGCGATGTGTTTGGGTCATTCTTGCCTCCCCATCCTCTGCGGGGGTGTCTCGATCTTAGCCTCGCTCTCCCAGCTCCTGCTAAGGGGACACCGCAGACAGCGCAGTGCCGCCTGCCACGGTCCCAGCGGTGACATACCTGGAGGTGAAGCTGGGGTCAGCCCTGCCGTAATGCTGCTGCTGCCTCAGAGAAATGTTCTGTGAAACGACAGAGAAGACCCAGCTACGGCAGTGGGACGGAGCGGGGGCGGCCCCAAAGTCGGGGTTCGGGGCAGATGGAGGAAGACAGGGGTGTAGGGAGGGGGAGACTGGAAAACGTCTGACCGCCCCTGCTTCTAATTCCACCGCCCAGGAAAGGCTTCTGGAGGCTCATGGAAATGACCACCCGAGCGCCCTCATCCCTCGCTGCCTTTGTCCTGGGGGCCCGCAGTGAGGTGCGACTTTGTTCCCCCTTTTCCTTAGTTGGGATATGACAAGGACTGATCCGAAGAGTTTGCTGTGGCCGACTCTTGCCTTGTCCTGCAGAAACCGCCCAGTCTGATCCTGGGCTCCTGGGGTCAAGTCCAAACTCTGAGGTGTGACCATGAGGCTCGGCTCGGCCTTACGGACCCTCCAGACCCAAAACGCGAGCCCCTCCCGGCCCCCCTGGTTCCCTCCACTCTGATGCCTCAGTTTATCCAGCTAACACAGATCTCGTGCCCTCCCCGCGGCTGGATTAGACTCCCTGTCCTTTCCCGTGTGCCTCTCCTATGTGACACCTTGAGGATGTCAATCATCTGGGTTGTTGGTGCCCGCCTGGGTTTGCTGGGGCTGGAGATGTGTCCTCTCCTAACCCAGGCACCTTCAAGGAAGGAGAGGAGGAAGGAGGGCCAGGCCCAGGCACTGACCGTGGCGGTTGGACCTGGCCGGGCTAGTCGAGGCCATGCCCTTTGCCTCACTGCCCCTGGCTGGGGTGGGGGCACAGCTCACCAGCTTGTATTCGATGTTCCCGTCATAGGTGTGGCTGTTCTCATAGATGACAGCCTGGAGCCCCAGAGAGTGGGGGTTGCTCACGATCACCTGAAGTGGGGACAGGAGAGGCACTGAGTGCCAGTGGGGTGACACCAGCAGGTGACCTTCATATTAAAAACCGAGCTTGCTCTGCAAATGTAGCTGCTAGTCCTGACCCCAGTGGTGCCCCCCGCCTCAGACACACCCCTAACCGTGGCCTCTGAGCCATCGGACCCACTCAGGTGTGCAGAGAGGCCTAGATGCCCATCCTGCAGAGGGAGACGCGAGGCCTCTGCATGACACTTGGACCCAGCCTGGCGTCCCCTCGCAGGCCCTGGTCCTGGCTGGCTGGACTTCCCCCCCGTTTATTTGCAGCCAGGTGTCCAAGCTTAGACACGTGGGCTCGAGGCCCAGGATGCCCGCTGTTTCTCAGGCACCCCCAGCTGGGGCTCTTGGCTGGAAGGGACAGAAGCCGGCTCTGGCCCAGCCAAGAGGAAAAGGAACTTGTGGAAAGGCTACGGGGGAGCTCAGAAGAAGGGTGGGGAGCGAGGTGCAGAGGTCGTGTGACGAGAGGCTGGGCAGGCAGACGGACAGACTGCCACGGCCTCCAGCACACCCAGATCCGTGGATGCTGGCCGAGGAGGAGGACAGGGACAGCGAGCTCGGACGGGCACCGCGGGGACTGTGTCTCCACGGAGGGCACCGGGGAGTCTCCTGAGTTTGGGAACAGTGGACACAGCACGTGAGGCCAAGGACACTGGGGGGCACCGTGAATCAGAAACACTCGTCCAGCACATAAGGCGGTGTCCTTACGAGCGGGACCGGCGACGTGCTCGGCCTGGGGATCATCAGGGCGGCCAACTCCAGCTTGCTATTCATATCGATGTTGTATATTTTGTTTTCAAAATCTCCTTGCAGAAGTTCTACCTAGTCAGAAATGGAAAAAAAATAAAGTTTAAATTAAATCAAGCCTCCGTTTCTCCCACGCACGCCAGAGGAGAGGAAGTAGGTGGGAGACGGTCACGGTGCCCGACGGAGGCCACAGCTGCCAGGGCTCTCGCCGGCGCCACCGTCGTCCCCGCTCCACCCTGCGCCCCAGAAGGCCTTGAGGCGCCCGCCCCTCTCCAAGGGCCCCCTGCCTGACTTGCAGCAATTGCTTTTCTCCCTGTTCTTTCTTTCTAGAGCAATCGCTAGGTGTGCAGCGCCAGGTGATGTACCTCGGGCTTGTTCGCGTCGTGTCGAAGCCTCTTTCCACCCACGGCCGCCCGCCGGCCCGTTTCCGTTCGTTTCTATTCATCTCAGAAGAGCCCAGGCTGCTGGACCTTCAGATTTCCCACAGCCTGGGTTTCCCCTGGCACAGCTGGGCACGTCCCCTGCGCTCTGCGTTTCTGGCAGACTGGCGCCGGATCTATCAGCTTTCGGTCGAGTCGCGTTGGCAAGACTCGATGGGTGACTGGTCTTTCCTTGTGGCACGTGACGGCTGGCTGTTTCTTTTTTGACACTAGTGGCCATTGATGCTCATTAATTCTTCGAGGTTGCCACGTGGAGATGTCCTGTCAATTTGTTGTCATGTATTCCCCGGAATAACGCCATCAGGAGACACTGTCCCTGCCGTGTTTGCTGGCCCAGTAGAAAGGCATGAAGGAAAGGCAGGACAAACGCTTGTGTCTTGCCTTTTATTTCCCCATTTTGAACATAATGGATTGGTTTGCTGTCCCCTGAGGTGGTGACCAGGCTGCTTCTTGGAGGGGTGGCTGATTCCAGGTCTGTCCTTGCCACGTGGCTTCTCACTGCTGCCGACCTCCCGGTCGAAGGCGTCTGCCAGCTATCTCCACTCTCCTCTTCCAGACTGTTCTTCATTAGCAAGTCACGTTCAGCTCGGCCTCCGGAGAGGGGACACTGTAGCCGTATTCTTTCACGTTCTCCAGTAAGGGAGCCGTGTCTCCTCCCCCTTTATTTATTTATTTCATCATCTATTTACATCCATGGGGACTTGTGCATTTTTATTTTATATTTTGGCTTATTGTCCAATATTGTATTGTTTATTTTTGTTACTCAAACTTTCCAGCTTTAATCTGTGGGTTATTGAGATGCTGTATCTTTTGCGGGGGTGGATTTTTGGAAAAGTACTTGCTAACGCCACAGCCGTCTTCCTCAGAATGGTTTAAGGGGCCAAACATTTGCATAAAAGCCTTACTGTCCCCTCCTCCCCTTCCCTCGCTCTGTCCCTCTTCTCTGCTTGCGCATAAGACCAGAAATTCTCAGACATGTGATTTCAAGGACCCACAAGAAAATCACAATGGCTGGGGGTGGGGGGGTGACATCCTATCGTAGCAAGTAAAGAGAGGAGCTGGATGGAGCTTCAGGATGAAGCACTTAGCGCCACCATCTCCTGAAAGGATATTTTTATAAGTCGATAAACTCAGGATACGGCACAGTTGCTTTTATTTATTTTTTCTCACTTTACTCAGTGCCCTGGACCCAAAGGCCACTTGGAAGTGGACACTCTAAAATCTTTTCGTTATTTTTCCATAGCCCCTTGGAGGGGGCGTGGCCTGCAGATGGGGGCGGGGCGGGGGTGTGGTGAGCCGAGGCAGCCGGGCTCCGCTGAGCACAGCATTGACTGGCTTCTGATCTGTTGGATTTGAAAGACGGGATGAGGATGCTGGACAAGGCAGGCTCAGGATGGCACTTCCTCGGGACGGTAGGTTGGCAGCCACCGTGGAAAACAGTGTGAAAGGTCTTCAAAGAATTCAACATGGAGCTACCACGTGACCCGAAAAGTCCACTTCTGGACATCGATCTGAAGGAAATAAAATCACTGTCTTGAAGGGACACCTGCACCGTCGTGCTCACTGTGGCACTATCTGCAGGAGCCAAGACACAGAGACGCCCCGTGTCCATCGGTGAACGGACGGACAATGAAAACGAGGTGTGTGTCTCTACGTCAAATCCGCGATGGAATATCAGTCAGCCTTCAAAAGAGGGAAACTCTGCCATTTGCAACGTGGACTGACCTCGAGGGCAGTTATGTTAGGTGAGATTGGCCAGAGAAAGACAGATACTGCGTGACCCTACTCACATATGGAATCTAAAAAAGGCCGAACCCATAGAACTGGAGGACGGATCAGTGCTCGCCAGAGGCCGGGGCGGCGGGGGGGATGGGCGGAGGGGTCGAAACCATAAACTTCCAGTTAATAATTCATCTTAACAGATTAGTCCTGGGGTGTGGTTTTCAGCACGGAGACTATAGCTACCGACATCGTTCTGCATATTTGAAAGTTGTTAAGAGACAGTATGTTTTAAAATGTTTCATTACAAGAAAAAATTTGTAACTCCGCGAGGTGATGGATGTTAACCAGACATGTCCATCACCAAATCACTGTGCGGTGCACCTGAAAACAATCGACTTTATGTCAGTTATGTCAGTTAGCTGCCGTTGCTGTTATCTCATTAAAACTGGAAAAAAAAGCTTTAAAAATAAAAAAGAAAAAGAAAGTTAGGAAACACTTTCCCGCACTTCTGCCCGTGTGATTGCCAGAACGGGGGTGGGGTGGGGGCTCTGGAGGAGCCCAGAGAAGACATTTTACTCTTTCTGTCCAGTGCTGCTCCCCCTTGCTGAGGGAAACCCGGGTTTCCTCTGGCAAATCGCCCTTCGGCATGTGGCCTGGTGGGAGGACTGACCCCACCACTCTCTGGCAGGGGGTGGCCCATCCCCAGCCACGTGACCAGTCCAGGAGTGGGCGTGCCACCCTCTCTGAGCCAGTGAGAAATGGGAGACGTGCTGGGGTTTCTCGTGGCTTCTGCAGGACGGTGATGCGAGACCGTCTCTCGCCTGGGGTGCTGTGTGAGGATGCCTGGTCTTGCAGGGTCGGCTGCCAGCTCGCTGCCACCATGCGAGAGCCAGGGGCTTCCTGGAGGCATCGAGATGGGTGGAGCTTCAGGATGAAGCATGATACGCCTGGGCAGGCAGGGTGGCGAGAAGGAGAGGGGCCGGCTCACGGCGGCCTGATTTCCGTCACCAGGTCACGCCTCGCCTGCAGTCTCGTCCCTTTGGACTGTTTTGTCCACGAGTCGACAGTTGCCTTTCTGGTTTAAGCCCATTTGGTCTGGATTTTCCGTCACTTGCAGAATGGCGAATCCAAATGGACGTGGGCACGGCTGCCTGTTCTGTGATTTTTCCCTTCTTCAGTCAGTCCTCTTGGCCAGGGTCAAGGCCGACCCCACGGCTCGGCGGGCGCCGTGAGCCCAATAGAACCTCCCTCTCTGGAGACTCTCCCGGTAAGTCCCTGTGGAGCCGTGGCTGTTCATCTGACCGCGTGGAAAAGGGGACTGGTTCTGCCAAGCACATCGTTTCCTTTTTTCTCTTCTTAACAACTTCGAGGGTTGGCTGTCTTCCTCGTTACGAAGAGCATCTACTATGAGGAAAACATGTTTCTATTTGAAATAAGGGACAGGAAATTGTACAAATGTGGGGGCCAGCCTCTGGGGCAGTGGTGGCTGGTTGCCAGATTCAGTTGTTTATGTGAAATTCAAGTTTAACTGGGCATCTTCTATTTTCTGAGGAACCCCACCTGGAGCTCCGTGTGTGCTTGCCTGCTACAAACGCCTAACTAAAAAAAAAAAAAGAAAAAAGTGCCTTGAACGGAGAGCCAACCAGTTATGAGTTAGGATCACATACTTTGCAGAAGTCAACTTGGAGTTGAGGGTCCATGAGAATTGCCTGGATATTCATGACGCACTTCTGGAAATCGAAAGCTGGGAAAAACGAATCGTGAATTGGGGTCACGAGCTGAAGAATCCCCGGTTTGCTGAACATCAGCACTGCCTCTTGGGACCAGAGGTTTTGGTCTGCAAACTGAAAGAAGTGATTTCTAAGATCAGGTCATTCCGATTCTTTTTTTAGGATTTAAATTTTGTCTTGGGATTCAGGTGTAAAGAAGGTACATCAAACAAACAAACAAACAAACAAACAAACAGTGACGCCATAAGTACACTCTGTTGAGACATCTGCTCTTTAGCTTCATTCATTCCTTGGTGTTTAAATTTAATAATGGAAACTGAGTGTCCTCGTCAGAGGGGGCGCTCAGAGGTCACGGACCTCTCTGGAAAGTCAGACAAAAGCTCCGGGCTTTCTCCCCAGAAAACGCACTGGTCTCAGGACGCCAGGGTGAAGGCTTCAAAGGGATGGCTCCCGCGTGGGCACCCCGCCCCCGGTGACCCTGTCCTTATCCCACTGCCGGGCCACTGCTGGGGAGCGTGGCTGCTGCAGGTCTAGCAGGAGAAACGCTGAAGGAGCAGTCGGCACAGCTGGGGGACTTTCCCGGCTCATTGCTAAAGAGTTTTGGGGCCTTAGGGGAGAGAGGAACTTGAACTTCAGTTTTCTCCCTGTGAAAGGTGGATGAAATCGACTCCTCAGGGTTGCCGCGAGGACGGGATGAAGGTAAATGTGCATAATGCACGAGATAATGCGAGGTGCTCCCAGCAAAACCGTTCCCTGCCTCCGTGACCCCGGGCGAATGACTTCATGTCTCTGTGCCTCAGTCTGTCTGTCTGTCTAATGGGGACAGCATAAGGGTTTGCTTCTTAAGACAATGGTCAGGGTTAAATGGATTAACCGTCAAAAGGTGGTTAGATCAGCACCTTCCATATTCTAAGGGCTCAGTTAAGTTTTAGCTGCCATTGCTGTTATTTTAATAACTATTAAAATTACTATTACTACTAAAATTATTAATGTTAATAATTTAATATTAGTTAAAATTTTTATTATATTATTGCTGTGCTATTTAAAATGTTATTGCCGTTTTAATAACTAGGGCAATTTCTAGCCTTGGGAAACAGTATGAAAGTTTGAGGACATGACTTATCCCCCACCAACCCGATAACAACCCTCACTTTGACTTTGCCTACTTTGATTAGGAAATTTGTCAGGATCCCCAGGCTGCCATAATACAACTTATTCTCCTGCGTTAAAACTGCCATTTCGTTTTCATCTAGGAAAAAACAAACAAGACAGAAGAAAAATTGAAATGAGGTTTGTTTCAATGGACAAAAATATTAAAGATATAAAAAGTTTTTTTGTTGTTTTTTTTTTTTAAATGACTCCAAATTCATCATCTAGACCAGCGGTCAGCAAACTTCCTCTGTAAAGGACCAGATGGTAAATACTTTCTGTTTTGCTGGTCACGTTACAAGTATTCAATTCTGAAAGCAGCTCCGGACAACTCATAAATGAACGAGTATTTACAAAGACAAGCAGCGGGCCAGACGTGGCCCCTGGGCCATGGGTTGCTGACCCCTGACACAGGTAAGTGCTGTTAACATTTTGGTTAACATCCTTCTGGTAGGTTTTTTTTTTATATATGGGATCACATCCCGGAACCCTCCAAGCTGCTTTGCAACGAAATTTCTTTCTTCACTTTGCGTACGTGAGCGCCGCCGGCTGGTCGGCGTTCTGGTGCCCACATGAACTGCAGCTTATTTAACCAGTACTCCACCAGCCAACACTGAGGTTGTCGCCGGTCTTCGGCAGATACAAAATTCCAAGGAGCACAGGACATCGTTAAAAGTGTTTATGAAAGGGGGCGATAAGATCCAAGGTACATTTATATTCTTTTTTTTTTTTTTTTAAAAAAAAAAGCAACCAAGGAAGTTTCCAGCTGAGGCTTGAAAACAGCCTCTGGTGTAGAGTTGCGGAGGAGTGTTTGTGGGGCGGGGGCAGAAGGCTGCTGTCGCAGGGCCTCAGGCCCTGCTCCACTGACCTCATGGCCGCTGGCTCTTCGTGGAGGGCTGTACCGGGCACCGCAGGGTGCTGAGCAACACGCCTGGCCTCCGTCCAGAAGATGCCAGTGGCGGTTCCCCCACTCCCCCCGAGTCATGACGCCCACAGGTATCTCCCGACATTGCCCAGGCTGAGAACCGTGGGGTTGGTGGAGAGAGGTCTCTCAGCGCAGGTGACACACAAGATACATGGCCCCGAATGTCATCTTTGTGACCTCGGCCTTTGTTCTTAAGAAAATAGTAAAGATTCTAGACATGGGAGGTGATGTATACTCAAAGGTTTGAAAAAAAACAAAAAAAACAAAAAAAAGAGTGGAAACACAAGTCTTAGACTGGGAGAAAATATTTGCAAATCCTATTTCTGATAAGAGACTCGCATCCCGAATATATAAAGAACTCTCGCAACTCAACAATGAAAAGACAAACATCCCTATTAAAAAATGGGCCAAGGACCCGAATGGACGTTTCGGCTAAAAGCTACCCGCAGGGTGGGTGGGCACGCACTGGCAGCCACGCTGTGGATGGTGAGGTTGGCTTCCAAAATGGAAGAATACAAGGTGCGCTGGCCTTCTCTCACTGGGACTGGGTCGACGAGCTGGCCTGTGAGAAGACACGGCAGAATCGTGAGACCTGGGCACGTGCTGGGAAGGGGGTCTCTGCTGCTGAAACACCGCCCACCCATCCCTGGGCTTGCGACTCAAGTGATAAAGAGTCAGGGAAAGAAAACACAGCTGACATGCGACGCTGTAAAACATCACGCGAAATAAGCTCGGGTTCGAGAAGGCCTCTTACTACGTGAGTAACAAACACATACAAGGAACAAGACAGCTTTCCTTCCGGAAGGGGCTCTCGAAACGGGTGGGCCACCCCTGTTTCTTGCACCACAAGGAACACTGCTGTTCAGATGGCCTGACCCGTGCTGGGTAGCTGGCTGTGATTGCAGCCACACCTGTGCCCAGAGGTTCCTGACAGCACCTCCTCTAGGGTGGGCAGCCTTTCGTCCCTCTGCTTGTGCCGGCTGGCGGGCTGGGGCTCACGTGGCCTGGGCACAGCCAGGATTCTTCGGCCAGGCCGGCTGCAGCTGCTGTGCCATCTCCAGAGTTTCCTCTTGCCCGGGGAAGGTCAGGCGGGGGGTTCCTGACCCATCTGGAGGCACTGAATTCAGCCCCCAGACAAGATCTGCAGCTCCTGGAGCAGAGACTTGGGCCCTCTGCCTTCAACACCTGGTGACTTTCAGAACCTGCCTACATGTGCCCGAAAGTCCCACAGGCAGGGAATGGCAGTTGGGGAGGGGTGGTGCAGCGAGGATGGCAAGGCCAGAAGGGGTCTCGTCCTCCTCCGGGGAGAGGTACAGTAATGGCGTGCACTTCCCCACCCCGCGCTGGGGGCGGGGCGCTGATGGTGGCCCCAGCCCAGGCACCTCCCCTCCCCCCCCACTCACCTGCGTTTTTGGAAATTAGCAGGTTCTTCTTGAACCAGAAGATCAGGACGCCCTTCTGGCCGGGGGCGCTGATGATGTCGAGCAACCCGCTGTAGTTGAAGGGCAGCCCCAGACTGTGGTTCAGCGGGTAGTCTGAGTACAGGAACTGCGCCTGGGAGGGGGAGACCACCGAATCCTGAGCAAGGGCAGAGGTCACCGAGCCGGGGACCCAGCAGCGGCAGAGCAGCGGGGGTCCGCAGGCCTCGAGGATCCGACATTCTCATCTGGGCCTGGGGTTCTCAGCCTGAGGTGGTCCTGCTCCCAGGGGACACAGGGCGATGTCTGGGTTGTCACATCTGTGGTTGTCATACTAGGGATGTGCCTGGTGGGGCAAGGGTGCTGCTCAGCAACCCACAGTGTCCAGCACGGGTTCTCATGGCATGCCTCCGAAAATGTCCTCGGTGGCACCTTGTATCTGACTGTTATTTAAGTTGATTTCTCTCTTTCGACCTACCTGTGTGCACGCCCACCCTGGATTCTCTTCCCGACGTCCTGGCACCAAGCCACCCGCACCTCCAATCTGCTAAGGGCCCGCTCTGTGTCAAGTCTCAACTGCTCTGCGCGGCTGTCGAGGCTCGCTCTCACCGGCTCTTCACGCAAGGCCTCTGACAGCTTCGAAACAACGCTGCCCCGGTTCCTAAGTGAGTTCCCAGAAGCCGCTCCGTGAGAGGAGGGGGCGGGGCTGGCTGGCTTTCTAGGCGCCTCCTGGGGCAGAAGAGCACTTAGCACTCAGGGAGAGGATGCACTCACTGTGCAGGAGCTGCTGAACTTGACTCGCCCTGCCCCCCATGTGGACACAGGCCACGCCCATCTGCAGGCAACTTGCTTAAGAGACTGCGCCAGTTCGCAGCCAGCAGCCCGTGGCGCTGTGTCATGGACAGGCTGGCCTTGGTCCCCCATAGAGCTGCTCAGCTGGCTGCCTGGGGTCTGCACAGCCGGTTAGGGCAACAAGCCGACCTGAAAAGAGTTCGGCCTTTCAGCGCTTACTAAGGTGGGGTCAGCGAGGGGCTGAGCCGGCAGGGCGGGCCGTCTGGGTCAGCGCCGGTGCGGGGGTGTTAGCACCCCGGCGCCAGCATCGGAAGGTTGCTCAGCGCTGCACCTGCGAGCGAGGTGTCCGCCCCTCCCTGCGCAGGGACGCCTGGGGCGGGCTGCCGGGGAGGGACGCGGATAAAGGCCTCGGAGGCAACGCGGCGCGGTGCAGTCCTTCAGAGCCTGAAGCCCGCAGGCCTGCCTGGTAAAGCGCTTGTGGCCGCCTGTGATCAGGCCTGAGACCCTGGAGCTGGACGCCTCAGCCACTAAATGCTTGGGATGTCGGGAGTGGTGGGAGAGTCTCCAGCTCAGGGTGGGGCCCTGGCAGCTCGTGCTAAT